TAATAAATGGACAGCTGAACTGAAGTTCATGTACTAATTCCTTTGGCTAATCATTTATTTTCATCAGAGAAGACTCATCTTACGAGTTATTAAATCTAAAGGTCAGCAGGGCTCAGTGGCTCAGCCTGTAATCCCGTGCCTTTGGGAGGCTGAGGTGAGTGGATTGCCGGAGCCCGCGGGTTCAAGATCCGCCTGGGCAACTTAGCGAGACCTCATCTCTACAATAAATTAAAAATTAGCCGGGCGTGGTAACACGCGCCTGTAGTTCCAGCTATGTGGAAGGCTGAGGCGGAAGGATCGCCGGGGCCCAGCAGGTCGAGGCTGCAGTGGTCGGGAGCGGCCACTGCACTCCAGTCTGGGTGACAGAGTGAGACTCCAACTCAAAAGAAAAAAAAAAAAAAATCTAAAGGTCAATTCTCATTCCTTATATTTATTTACTATCAACAAGGCTGAACACTTCCTCTGCATTCATTCACTTGGCCCCCAGGACTCTACACTAATCTAGTTTAGTTCTCAGGCTTCCACTGTAAAAATAAGTAAAAGTTCTTCAGACAGAAAAAAAAGGAATCAGAAGAAACTTTGAACCTAGCGATGAAATGAATAAATAAATGAAGAAAATGAAGAAAAAAATAGTAAAAATGAGCATATATATACATTAATATTTTCTAATTTTTAAAATTTCTATAAAATATGGTTACTGAAAAGTACTAAATGTTGCTGAAAGACATTAATGACACAAATGACAGGAAAGACATTTCATGTTCATGAATTACAAGACTGGTCAGGTGCAGTGGCTCAAGTCTATAATCCCAGCACTTTGGGAAGCCGAGGCAAGAGGATTCCCTGAGTCCAAGGGTTCGAGACCAGCCCAGACAAGATGGTGAGCCCTTGTCTCTACAATAAATAAAATTAGCTGGGTGTGGTAGCACACACCTGTAGTCCTGGCTTGAAAGGCTGAGGCGGAAGGATCGCCTGAGCCCAGCAGGTTGAGGCTGCAGTGGCTGTGGGTATACCACTGCACTCCAGCCTAGACGACAGTGCGAGACTCCAACTCAAAAAAAAAAGATAGCTGTACAACCCAAAGTAATCTACAAATTTAATGCAATCTCTAACAAAATCCCAATGGTGTTTTTTGCAAAAATACAAAACTCTATCCTAAAATTCATCAGGAATCTAAAGGGACTCAAAATAGCCAAAACAATCTTGAAACACAAGAACAGAGTTATATTTCAATTAGTTTTGAAAAAGCTGATTTCAAAATTCATCACAAAGCGATGGTAATCAAAACTGTGGAACTAGCAAAAAGACACATTTATAGACCAATGGGATGGGACAGGATGAATGATTCCAACAGATGCATTTAGAGCATTGACAATATTCAACACCCATTCATGATTAAGAATTCTCAGGTAACTTCCACAGTATGATAAATGGTACATAATGAAAGCCCCTCCCCATACCTAATGTCATACTTAACATTTAAAAATGAATGAACATTCACACTTCTAGCCAACACAAATTTCACTAGTCATAGCCGGTGCAATAGGACAAGAAAAAGAAATAAAGATATAAATATCAGAAAAAATGCAGATGACATGACTGTCTACACAGAAAATCCTAACCAATCTACAAAAGTGATAAGTGATACTAGCAAAGTCAGAGGATACAAAAATAAAAAGAAAAATGAAGCACACAAAACTTAAGTCCTCAGCACAACTAGAAGGCATGAAACACAAGTAGAAAATTAAACAATTAGATCCTAGCACATACTTATTGCCATAAGTCTTCATGAAGATTAAGGGCAGTCCAAGACAAATTGTAGAACAATAAAAGAGGGAAACAAGTAGCAGACCAAATACTGACATAAAAATCACACATTAAGTGTAAAACACTGAAAAAGTGACCTGACAGTTCAGAGTTGATTACAGATAAAGGAATTAAAAGAGAACACAAGATGCAAAGAGCTAGCCTTCAAAATACCACTCTCTAGAAGGGAACAGTAAAAACAAAAGGCAAATACAGGCAAGCTGCCTCAACTTGATAAAGAATATCTACCAAAAAAACTAGAGCTACCATCTTACTTATTAATGAATAAATATCTCTGTTACCCAGAGATAACCAATGTATCATTTTGGTACACAGATTGAAAAAAGGATGGATATACATGAAAATTGTTTAAAATATGTTCTTCAGTAACTGCTTTGTCCATGAGATCAGGACAAAGTTGCTTTCTTCCTGAGATCAGGAACAAAGTAAGGATGCTTCCTCTTCACCACTGCTTTCCAACATCACCCTGGAAGTTCTAGCTCATGCAATAAGAAAAGTAAATAAAAGACATGCAGATTGAGAAGAAATAAATAAAACTGCTTTGGTTCATAGATGACATGATTGTCTATGCAGAAAATCTGAAAGAATCAACAAAAAACCTCCTGGAAATAACAAGCAATTACAGCAAGTTTGCAGGATACAACATTAATATACAAAAAATCAATCACATTCCTATACACCAGCAATGAACAAGTGAAATATGAATACAATAACATTTATATTAATACCAAAAGAAAGAATACTTTGGTATAAATCTAACAATATGTACAAGATCTATGTAAGGATGGATGGGGGAAAAAATTAGGGTACAGAGTTTCTTTTTGGGGTGATGAAAATGTTCTAAATTGATTGTGTTGATGGTTACACAACTCTGTGAACTGTACACTTTAATTAGGTAAATTGTATAATATGTGAATTACAGCTCAGTAAAGCTGTTATTTTAAAAGGAAAAAAACTATAATTTAAAACAACTTTCCAAAGTAAAAAGAAACCTGAAGTCCGTACTGAAAGGGTCTCCAGGTATTAGGAAAATTTGGCCCACAGCAATAAACTCCAAGAGATAGCCCAATAAAATTATTAGACTATAAAAATAAAGTAAAACTTTTTTATCTCTACCTCTAAAATAATTTTTTAATTAAAAAAACTTATAAAAGAAAGAGTATTAATAAGACAGGTATCAAACTTCTTGAAACAAAACACCAAGCAAGGCATCAGTAGACCAGCATTTTCCTAAAATTTTAGAAAATAAAAGGTAAAGCAAAGATTTTCTTGAGCAATCAAGATACGACTCGGAAAACTTTAGCAAAAATTATTGAAGCTAAACACTGTTTTTTAATTAATCATGAATTCAAGAATACGACAAAGATAAAGACAACAAGTAAAGGAATAATACATCACAAAGTAGAAACAATGCAACTTGGCAGGCGCAGTGGCTCACGCCTGTAATCCCAACACTTTGGGAGACACCAAGGCAGGAGGATTGCTTGAGCCCATAAGTTCAAAACCAGCATGGGCCACATAGTGAGACAACATCTCTACAAAAAACAAAAATAAATTAGCCAGGCGTGGTGGTGTGCACCTGTGGTCCCAGCTACTTGGAGACTAAGGCAGGAGGATCACTTGAGTCCAGGAGGCTGGGGCTGCAATAAGCCACAATGGCACCACTGCCCTCCAGCTTAGATGACAACTTGGGTAACAGAGAAGAAAGGAAGGGAGAAGGGGAAGGCAGGGAAGGCAGGAAGGCAAGAAGGAAGGAACTCAAAAATACAAGGAGAAACGGTAAGGAAGAAGAAAGACCAAACTTTAATTGTTATACAGGCAATGGGTGGGACTTAAAGAATGCCATAAAAAATTGATTAACTTGTTAATAAAATGTTAGATTAGAAAACCAGAAACAGGAAGCATTCCAAAATTTATAAGTTAAACAAGCCCTTCTAACCTTAAAAAAAAATTTCAAAAATAAAAGAGAAAAAAAAACATTATGAAAAAAAAAACTAAAAGAAACGCAAAGAAACATGGATAAAAATCCACCATACACACTACTCTCAGTAAAAGTCAGCTCAAAAGAACAAAAAATAAAATTTGGAAAAATAAACATAATCAATAAGGTAGACAGACCTTATAGGCAGTAGGAAAACTTAAACCCTGTTAACAGAGACTAAACTTACTTTTCAAGCACATGTAAAAAAAATTTATGAAACCTGATCATATATTAGGTCACAATAAGTTCTGTAAAGAAAAAAAGTCAGAATAACTGAACCAAAGATAATAAAACTAGGAATAATTCTCATATAAAGAAGAAAGTTTCCTTCAATCAACGCTATGAAACAATTTATAGACCTTCTGTCCTGTTTGTCCTTTGAAGGTTTGGTAGAACTCGCCTGAGAAACCATATCGCTTGGATGCATTTTTGTGGATTCGTTCTTTGGTAGGTTTCTCTATTCTTTTCTTTGCAACTTGTTGTTGGATAAGACAACTCAGTATTATAAAGATGAGCATTCTCCTTAATTTATAAATTTAACAAATCCCAAATAATCCTACAAAAAGTTTATTTATGGAGCTGGACAAGTTGATACTCAAGTTCATATAGAAAAGTAAACTTGTAAGAGTACTCAGTAGAAAACATGGAAAAGGAAGAGTTACTACAGGGAATCAGTCTTACCAGACATTAAAATATACCATAAGCCTCTCTAATTAAAAGTGAGGTACACAGAAGGGTATGGTGGCTCGTGCCTGTAATCCCAGCACTTTGGGAGGCCAAAGTGGACAGATCACTTGAACCCATGAGTTTGAGACTATCCTGGGGAACATAGCAAGACTCACATCTCTACAAAAAAAAATTTTTTTAAATAAATTTAAAAGTAAAATTAAAATTAAGAGTACAACTGGACACAGTGGCTCACACCTGTAATCCCAGCACTTTGGGAGGCTGAGGCAGGAGGACTGGTTGAGGCCAAGAGTTTGAGGCCAGCCTGAGCAACATAGCAAGACCCTGTTTCTACAAAAAATTTTAAAAACTTAGCCAGGTGTGGTGGTGCACACCTGTAGTTCAGCTACTCAGGAGGCTGAGGCAGGAGGATTGCTTGAACCCAGGAGTTCAAGGCCACAGTGCACTATGATATCACCACTGGGTGACAGAGACCTTGACTCTTTTAAAAAAAAAAAGGAAGCTGGGAACCGGGGAGATGGCCGAGACCAATCCTAAGAATGTGCAGGATCTCACCTTGGTGGTGCATACACTCCTGCAACAGATGCAAGATAAATTTCAGATCATGTCTGACCAGATCATTGGAAGAATTGATGATATGAGTAGTCACATTGATGATCTGGAGAAAAACATCACGAACCTCATGACACAGGCTGGGGTGGAAGAACTGGAGGGTGAAAACAAGGTTCCTCCCACACAGAAGAGTTGAAGGTTGCTACTAATTTATACTGAAATCTGGAACATCATTTTTCCAAGCCAAGAGAAGACCGAATGGCTTTTTGCAGCTAACTACTATGTGTAGACAGATTTTCTATTCTAAAGTGTGCATTCTTTTCACATACAATAGTTAGTTTATAGAGTGAAAGAAAAAAAAAGGTGAGGTACTTTTACAGCATATGAATACACAATTATTCCCACGTGTAAGGGTCAGCAAGCTTCTGTAAAGGGTCAGAAGGAAGCATTTGGAGCTCTGTAGGCCTCAGAGTCTCTGTCACTACTACTCCACTCTCCTGTTCTAGCATGAAAGCAGTCACAGACAAGATGTAAGCAAATGAGTATGGCTGTTCTCCAATGTAACTTTATTTACAAAAACAAGGCTGGATTTGGCCCGCGGGCCATAGTTTGCCAAATCCTGGTGTAATGTAATAAAAAGTCCAGAAATAGAGCCAAGAATATATGAAAATTTAGCACATGATAAAAGTGCCATCTCAAATCACTGGGGAACTTTTTAATAAGTAGTGCTAGAACAACTGGTTAACAATATGGAAAAAGGTCAGATTAGAGCCATACTTCACAGGATGTACAGCAATAAACTTCAAATAGGTCAAAAGTATAAATTTAAAGAGTGAAACCATAAGTACTGGAAGAAAACAGAAATTCCTTTAAAACCTGGGTATAGCAAAAAGTCATTTAACTACGAATCAAATCCAAAAGCCAAAAAAAGGCAAAATATATAAACTAGATAAAAATGTTAAGCTTTTGTATAGCATTAAAAAAAGGTACCATGAACTAAGTCAAAATGAAAATTATAAACTGGAAAAAAAGTTTATAACATATATAACAAATAAAAGGATTAATGTCCCTAAAAATTCACATTAAATTGAGGGAGGTAAAAAATACAAAACTCCCAATAGAAAAATGGGAAAAGTCATGAAAAGACTTTTCTAAAGATATAAGCATGACTTTTTTTGAGTTGTAGTCTCTGTCCCCAGACTGGAGTGCAGTGGCACATTCATGGTCACTCCAGCCTCGACCTGCTGGGCTCAGGTGATCCTTCCGCCTCAGGCTTCCAAGTAGCTGGAAACACAGGCACATGCCACCATGCCCAGCTAATGTTTTGATTTCTTTTAGAGATGAGTTCTCGTGAAGTTGCCCAGGCTGGTCTTGAACTCGTGGCTCAGGCAATCCTCTCACTTTGGCCTCCCAAAGTGCTAGGATTATAGGCGTGAGCCAC